TCTAGGCCCGAAACGTCAGCCTTCCTGCTCCTCTGATGCTGCTTGGCCTGCTGTGTTCATCCAGCTCTACACCTTGTTATCTCAAAAAAATAGTCAGTTAGCTTTTTGTCTGTTAGGGGAAAGAGTTATAATCAATCTTTAAGAGGTTATAGCTGGGCACTTAGAAACAAACATTCAAGGTGATTGGGAAGAATTAACCCGGTTCTGTGAAAGGGAAATCATGCATAATCAATTTATTGGGACTTTTAAAGAGTAATATGCTGTGGCAAAATGTGGAGCCTATGTAAGTACTCTACCTGGATTTCCAGAAAGCATTTGAGAAGGTACCCCAAAAATAGCTATTGTGCCAAGTAGAAGCCTTTATTGGTCAGTACATGGAGTATAGGAGTTGGGATGTAATGCTGCATCCGTACAGGATGTTGGTTAGGCGACTTTTGGAATACTGTGTTCAGTTCTGGTCTTCCTGCTGTAGGAAAGATGTTGTTAAAGTTGAAGGGGCTCAGAAAAGATTTACAAGAATGTTGCTGGAGTTGGAAGGTTTGAGGTACAGGGAGAGACTAAACAGGCTGGGGCTTTTCTCCCCTGGAGTATCAGAGGGTGGAGGGATTTATGAAATCATGAGGGGCATGGATAGGGTGAATAGCCAAAGTCTCCCCCCACCCCCCACCCACCCCCTCCCCACTCTGGTAGGGGGGTGTCCAAAGCTAGAGGACATAGGTTTAAAGTGAGAGGGGAAAGATTTAAAAGGGACCTAAGGGGCAACCTTTTCATGTAGAGAATGGTGCATGTGTGGAATGAGCTACCAGAGGAAGTGGAGGAGGCAGGTACAATGACAGCATTTAAAAGGCATCAGGATGGGTCCACGTAGGAAGGGGTCTGAGGGATATGGGCCAAATGGGACTAGATTAATTTAGGATATTTGGTTGGCACAGACAAGTTGGACTGAAGGATCCATTTCAGTGCTGTATAACTCTTATGACCCTATTAAACATCTACCAGTTATTTATGTTCAGTTACAATATAGTGAAAAGAGAGGCAAGAAAATGAGATAGCACTGTCTTTAAAAGCAACAACCAAACTGGAATTTAAATAAGTTAACAAGCTGTATTTTCTTTTGGCTCGAATTTTTTGAAATACTTTATCATCCTTAGTCAATGGAAATTGGAATCCGAAATCTCAACTTGCAACTCGTTTCTGGTGCATAATTTTAGCGTAATTCCATATTTCAAAAATCCTTTACACCTTAAAACACAGGGCCTAAATAAAGCACCAGCACTTAGTTTTCAGTATTTTAAATATTTACGAGTTTTAAGCAAAATCTCAATATACAAGACACTCTACAGTGATTGAGAAAATGGACAATGAATTCTTGCAGATATTATTAAATCTGAATTATTCTGGGAGATGCCACAACAACTAGGATACTGGAACTTCAAGAGACAGTTAGGGGCAAAGGATAGTGTCGTGGCCATCACTAAGGAGAAGATGCTGGGGAAGCAGAAAGGTCTGAAGGTGGATAAATCACTTGGACCACTGATTACACCCCAGAGTTCTGAGTGAGATAGCTGAGGAGATTGTGGAAGCATTGGTGGTGATCCTTCAGGAATCACTGGAGTCAGGGAGGCTCCCAGAGGACTGGAAAATAGCTAATGTAACACCTCTGTTTAAGAAGTGAGGGAGGCAGAAATGGGAAATTACAGGCTGGTTAGCCTGACCTCAGTCATTGATATGATTTGAGAGTCCATTACTAGGATGAGATTGCAGAGTACTTGGAAGTACATCCCAAAATAGGGACGAGTCAGCATGGCTTTGTTCAAGGGCAGTCATGTCGGAAATCTGTTAGAATTCTTTGAGGAGGTAACAAGCAAGTTAGACAAAGGAGAGCCAGAGGATGTGATCTATTTGGATTTCCAGAAGGCCTTTGACAAGGTGCCACACAGGAGACTACTAGATCAACACCCATGGTGTTAAGGACAAGGTACTGGCAGAGAAAAAGGACTGGATGACTGCCAGCAGGGTGAGTGTGGGGCTAAAGGGGTCTTTTTCAAGAAGGCAGAATTGAGAGGGGAAGGAGGAATTTGTTCAGCCAGAGGGTGGTGCCTCTGTGGAACTCATTGCCATAGAAGGCTGCGCAGGCCAAGTTATCAAGTGTGTTTAAGGCAGAGATAGATAGGTTCTTGATTTTTAAGGGGATCAAGGATTATGGGGAAAAAGTAGTGGAATGGGATTGAGAAACACATCAGCCATGATTGAATTGTAGAGCAGATGTGATAGACTGATTGACCTAATTCTGTCCCCAACCCTTATGGTCTTATAACATATACATGAAATCAGCTTCCAATGTAATAATCATAATAGTATGTATTTTTGTACCAGTAGTTAAAAATTCAGAAATGAATACTTACCCATTTGTATAGGAGTACAGTAAAGCGCATCAGGAATTCCATCATTTCTAATCTTGTGGGAGACAGGAGTACTATGCAGAACCGGTGCAGAATTTTCAGCAGCTTTTGTTTTAGACTGAAGGGGCGATCTTGCCAGTTGATGCTCATCAACCTGTGGGGCACCTGAAAGCACAGTGTCATTGTTCGGTGATGGGCAATCCTCTGCTGCAATTACTGTACTGAAGGCTGGTGTTGGTTTACTCATTTCTCTACTTTCTTCATTCTGTACCCACTGCCTTGCATTAGGGGAAGATGGCTGTTGCCATGGAGACAGCAATGGTGAATCAGGCGAACTGTACGCACGATAGTAATCGTCATCATCTTCGAATGGCTGCTTTCCTTTAGTTAATTGGCTTGTGGGAGATTGAGGTTTCAGGCTGTCCTGTTCTGGAGTTTTTAGCTGCAGTGTTTCAGGAGTGATGGCAGGTTCATTTGGCTGGGCACGTCTTTCACCTTGCTGTTGGTCAGAAACTGCAGGAATTGCTATCTCTAACTCTCCAGCTGAAGCAACCCCATCTTCTTGTGAAGTCTGCAAGCACTGATTCTGATGGACATTCTCGGTTAGAGCAAGCTGATTCTTTGAACATTTCTTTGAGTTCTCATATTCTCTTTTGGCCTGCAGCCATAACTGCACTCGTTGTAAACTAGGTGGACTTTTACATGGCAGGATTATAATCTTTCGGTCTTCAGAGGTTCCTATACCAATCCTTATTTTTTGACCCGTAGTATGCCTACTCCCTGTGAAAGCAGGAGAGCCAGGTCGAGCATTTTGTGTCATTGCTGATAAGGCTGTCTTCCAGAACTGCAGTCCTTCCAGTGAAAAATCTCCATCAAACTCCGGCAAGTCATTTGGTAATCTGGTTTCAACTATCAAAACCCGTCCTCCTATCTCCCTATTTATTGAAGGGAAAAAACATTTTAAAAACACCATTCCTTATCTTTTGGTTCATCACTTGCTTACCTCTACCATTCCAATGAGTGAGATTGAAATTAAACAATGGCTATCTTGTGGAAGTCAACAGAATACTTTCACAATGGATTCCTATCATCCACATACACAGCAAGCCCAACAGTCTTCTAAATGATTTCAGACATGTGCACATCCCAGAGCCCGAAGCCATATTTAAATCTAGGTGGGATTAGAGATGATTGACCACTTGGCTCTACAGTAAACTTAACTGACATCCTGCAACCTGTGGGTGGGATTCCAATGGAATGTCCTTCCCAACTACCACTAAACGGAGAAGAATTTTCCTGACACCAGCAAATGGAAATGGGGACTCCCATCCAATTTTGCCAGCCTTACCCCTCCCATCATGTTGGGTTCCATTATACTCAGTTTATCTCCCTCGTTGGATTTGCACATAATCACTCCCTTCAATGGTCATATAGAACAACATTGCTTGAAAATGTTCCTTTAATGGAAAAATTGTTTGATCCATGAATTTGGGAGAATGAGACAGAGTCATAGTCCAAAATGCAAAGAAACATTCACATACAGGGATCCAAAATTTTAAAAAGCTATGAACACACTGCAAAGAATTGGAATTTCTGAGCTCAGATATGAAATGGTATTGTTGCTGCATCAAGACCCTTGCCTAAATTGCTGAATACATTAAACAAATTAGTCTAGCAAGACTATATTTACTACTTATATTTCAAAATGATCTGTGAAAATGAAAGGTCTTTGCTACGCTGGGATATCCTTTACTAAGTCTCAAAACTGACAATCCAATAGGAAGAAACTGTTCCCTGTAGTTAGTTATCTTAATGTTGGCGAATGCACACCAGGTCTTTATCTTTTTGCTAACAAGCAGCCTTTATACATAGACTCCGTGATACTGCATACTTGCATCTCTCTAAAGTCTACATTACACTGTGGCAATATTATTGATTAATACTGAATTTGAGATATTTCCAAATAGGGATCTAGAATCAGGGAATATGCATTCTTGAGGCAAACTATACTTGTGGCTTTACTTGGATATTTGTACTTAGTGTTATATTCAAATACAACTTGTATTTCTTTAGAATGTAAGCAATTTACATTTGATGGGTTAAGTATATTTATTATTTCAAAAATTAAAACAAAATTCCTCTCTCCTAAACAGAATTTATTCCATGGCTCTGTTGAGTGAACTTCTGCACATTGAAGCCCAATTGAAAACTAGTTATGCAAAATCTGGATGGAGAGGCACAGCTAGCCGCAGTGACACCCCAGAAGTTCTGTAAGATCTGCAAGCATTTCTATCCCTATATTAGGCTACCACTTAATGGACTGGAGTGAGCAGTGTTTGCAAGAAACTTGAAACACTCAGTCTTACTTTTTTTAAAAAGTTCATTAATTGGCTATGGATATCACTTGCTGGGCTAGTGATTATTGCCCATTCCTACCTAGTTACCCATGAGGTGGTGCTTGGAGATGCCTTCCTGAACTACGGCAATCCATTTGCCTCAGGTGGACCCACAATGCAATTAGGGAGAGTGCTGCAGACCTAACCCAATAACACTGAAGGAAAAGTGACATCTTTCCTAGTCAGGACAGTGAATGGCGAGCTTGAATATGATGGAGTTTCCACGTATCTGCTGCCCTTATCTTTCTAGATACAAGTGATCACAAGTTTGGAAAGTGCCGTCTAAGATGCCTCGGTGAATTTCTGCAGTTCATCTTGCAGAATGGTATGCACTAATGCTGCTAAATGTTAACAGCAGACTGAGTGAATGTTTGTGAACTTAGTGCTAATCAAGAGACTGCTTTGTCCAACTTGTGAAGTTTCACAAGTGAAGTTGGAGCTGCACTCATCCAGGAAAGTGGAGAGCATTCCATTCTATTCCAGATTTATGCACTCTAGTTGGTGAACAGGCTTTGGGGAATCAGGCGGTGAGTTATTCACTGTCATATTCCTAACATCTGACCTGCTCTTGCAGCTACAGCTTTTATGAGGTTAGTTCTATTCACCTACTTGTCAATAGTAGCCCTCAGGCTGTTGACAGCAAGGAATTGATATTCAACCGCATGCATTCAATCACAAGGGGCAGTGGCTAGATTTTTTTCTTGTTGGCGACAGTCATCATTTGCTGGCACTTGTCATAAAATCTTACAGTACAGAAAAGGCCCCTCAACCCATTGAGTCTGTATCAT